GTCACAATACTGACATTATTGGATAATTTTCAACTCAACGCTGAGTAAAGGCATAGAGCAATAGTTATCGACAGACCTGTCATAAAGAATGAAGGAACAGCCTTGTTCGAATCCAGTTTTTTCCTTTTTTTTTTTTTTTCACTATTGAGATTTAGAAACAATCCATACCTCGTCTCATTCTGAAATTATATTAAAGTCGAATTTTTCGCCTGTTTTATAGAGATTGTCCTGAACGTACTGTAAATTTATTTTTGTTGATTGTCAATTTTTCCGCTTTAAACATTACGTCAGATTGAATAATGATATTACATGCTAACAGATCCTTGTGATTTTATGACGTCAGGGCAACATACACGCATACTCGCTGTTAGTACGCTGTTGTCGATAATTCTCATTGAATTCGTTAACCTCTCTGTTTCAAGCTCTACGTCTGGTATCGCCGTTATCAGACGACTGGCTCTCGCACGAAACAAAGTGCGTCTGCGTTCGGTTCGAACCTAGACCACAACGTGTTTTCAGGACCAGCAGTTGAATACATTACCCACTAAGCTACCATAAGGACACCCTATTGACTTTCAGTGTGCTTATTTAGCCAACTATATTATTAATTAAATTCACTTTGAACTTAACTTTACTAATGTTATTCCATCTATTGAGTTTGTAAATCTAGGTATATTTTTTAAGTGTATATTTTATGGTACACTTTGGTGATCAACGCTATTATCATCGTGTCCTCTATTCGGTTGAGCGTCGGTTCCAGCCGTCGTTTTCCAATAGTCGAAATGGCTGTTACCTTACATAGCACTTACAGGCATTTCTTAATCAGACACAACCCATTTAAACGTACACGGTATACTGGCTTAGATTTCAACGTCATCAGTACTTATCATTTGCTACGGAGTTATAGGAGAACGTCTATTAAATATTTTTTGCTATACAAAAATAATTACTATATAGAGATATAACATCTTTTCATATGCTCTTCATTTAATGTTGTTTTAAGAAATTCGTTATACATTTACTTCTTCTCCGCGCTGTCCCAATTTTAGGCATAATAAGGCCCATATAAACAGTAAAAGCTAACGCGATAAACAGCAAAGCATGGACCTAAATAGACTTAAATCTAGTAAGGTCATAACCGATTGAGCAGTTTTCGGGGGAAGAATTACCTTGGAAAAACACTTGACAAAACTATCACTCATGCGGAAAAATAAAGACGTTTAAGATCCCTTACCAAATGAAATGTTCTTGAATGCCACTGCTGTTTCCGATATATTAGATCATGCGGCTTGCGCTGCATCGATTCGCCTTAACTAATCGTTGTAGGGGAATATGTGGATTTCTGGATATTTAGGACACGGTGTACGCGAAAAGTTGAGCAATCTTATAGGGCAATAGTTTCACGCCTCTAGAAGAAACTATTTATACCATATGTTTTCATTTCTTTCGTGATAGATACCTATTTGGTAGTGCACAAAATTTAGAACCAAAAAAGTATATGTTTGTTCATTTTTTTATAATGTTATATATATATATATATATATATATATATATATATATATATATATATATATATATATTTATATATAACGTTTTAATAGTTTGTTAAATTTGTTTCCTATAAAGCAATTTAACTTTTCAAACACCTTGTAGAGTCTTCTACAGTCAAAAGATGTAACTGAAAGCTACTGTAGGCCTAGAACTACACTGCCCAATTATATTTGATACTTGTTATGTAAAAGATTGAAATAAAAAAAATCTTGTAAAATATGATAGACCTAATTGAATACTAAAAATAAAATCGGTTGCAGCATTTAAGTTATTCTGTTTACTTAAGCAGTTAACCGTTAATTCAGGCAGCCGATTCTCAGCACGAAATGAAACGTTCCTGAGTTTAGATCACCAGTTGTTAGTAACTTCAATAGAAGAACACGTTACTTTCTGCGTTATCGCTGAAAAAATAAGTTCAGTTTACCCTAAGGTCATATGACCATACCAGTAGCAGGCGGAATGTCCTGATTTTGACAAAGAAATTATCCAATCAATGCAGTCGTTTAGCTGGCTATTTTTCTCGTACTTGTGCAAGTATTTGTATTTGACATGCAAGTGTACCCCTATCTGCAGGTTGATACATTACATAAAGCTTGTGGGTATTTGAGATGAGCTTTAACGATTACATCTTTTACACATAAATTTGGTAAAATTGTGTCTGGCTGATGCCACAAAAACGCATTTGATCGAACCTCATACATAAGTTGGCCAGGCATTTGATTGTCCACTTTTTAACGAAGCTGCAATATGCGACTACGACAATAGCTAATCCATGTTGCTGGCTCATCTCTTGCGTTTAAGATAGTCGAAACCTCTGGCGCTTTCAGAATCAACCTATTGAGGGAAGCTTGAAGACAGTCAGAGAAATCAATCTTTTTCAATATTTACTTTCTTTTAATGTTCAGGAAGAGATTAAATTTGCTGCTGAAACCGTCCCACAGGGGCAAATTTGCAAAAACGCTTCTGTAAAAATACCTTTCAGTAAATTTTCTTCAGAAAGAGAAACTGTAATTGCTACATTCGGTACCTGAGCCAATTTGATTAGGATAGATAGACAAAATAGACTATTACGAAACACTCCTTCTTCATGTCCACTCAATCCAATTGAAACATTTTATTCATGCACTTAAAATAACCGTATTTTCGTTAAACGATTGTTCTTATTGTTATTATTTTGTTTCCTATGTAGTTGTTTTAGGGTACTGCTGATTATGTCACGTCACAGCAGTTACTTCTTACAAAGGTTGTACTAGTGCGCCTCATTATAACCCACTCGGTTCGCTTGTTATCCTTCAGAGCCATCGCTTGCCGAAGCCATGATGTGCCTATAATAACAGAAAATACAAGTCAACTTATCTCGTAGTCAGATTGCTACCAGGTGGACGCCATGAAGCGGAAAGGTCGAGAATGCCGTGTTGCATTTATACGAACCGTATTTACAGCAGCCCCTAGTTACGCTAGTGAAAGCTCTTTAATACATAGAGAAACTAACAAATTTTATTTTTTTGGACTTTATTTTCGTTGTTTTGCTATTCGACACGTCCCGTAGCCTAATCAACTTGGTAAGCTATAACCTAACAGAACGTAACAAGCCTTTTTCCTTTGGCGAGAACTGGGAGAACTGGTAGAAACGTTTTTAAGAGTGTTAGATACAAAAGCTACCGGCAGTCGACAAACATGTGTGACGGTCAACGTCCTACTAGATGGGACTGCGTGACAGCATAAGATGACAAATTTAGACACAAGTTTAGCTGATGATGACGATTCCATCGTTACTGGTCGCCCGTTCATGTTTAGTAGCGCAGGGTTGAAACCTGACGTCAGGTCAAAATCTATACACTATCTCGTTGTAAGCGTTCATTTTATTTTTTTTTTCAAATTTAAATTTTGAAAAATTATGAATAGAGTCGAACAGGCATGCGTTGGCGTATTATTATTAGTATATTTTAAAATAATAATATAATTTTCATATCTATATGCCATATGGAGAAACATAGGCAACAGTTTATAGTCACCCCCTTGTGGAAGTCAAACTAATACAACAAATAATTGAAGACCAAAGAAAAGTTTAACACAGAGAAAATAAGTCGGCTGTTACAACTGTCTGAGATACGAAGTGCTGGTTTATGGCAGCTAGACTCGTATACGATCTTCCCGCGTAGCAATTCACCATTGGTCAATAAGAATCCCACGTTTCACCATGTCAAGATTGAAGTTTCTGATTTACCCGAACTATGCTAAATATATATTTACCTTTATGCAACAAAGTTCGCTGTCTTGCCAGCTTCCTCATTTACAATTGTTTTTAATCGGTGGCTGACTTTGATATTACAATTCTGATATGACGACCTAAGCAGTGAGGTATTACAACAGGGAATAACGTGCCATATAATTTTTTCCATCGTATTTCATGGCTACTTCATATAACTGAATCAGCTATTCATTCAAAATATATGCATGTTTTGATTTACTACAGTATATCTACTATATCGACTGTTCTGCCTGAATCTTGACTATACATATGTGTATGTGAATGTGTGCAACAATCTGTGCCATGCTGCTACCGCTTTATGTGATCATGCATGCCCTTCGCGCATACATATTCCCGTGAAGTGATGAGCGCCAGCGAGTATGACCATGCGCCCTTCACTAAGCGAAGGCCAACCGCGGTTTTGCTACTTCATTAAATAAATCTAAATCAGGAGCCTGAAACAAAATGTTATCAATAACAACAACACTAAAATGCGCACATATCGATATATTTTTCGATATTCGATCATTTTACATCCTATCCTAGTCTAAATGAATTTTTCCGTGCCTATGATACAGTGCTGACGGTGATGACAGCTCCACGTGCTTCAGCATAATACTGCTCGGAGTACTCGCTGTCCGAAGAAGAAACCGGTTACGCCAGCTGAATGGCGACGTTCGCACATCACGCGCTTGCAGCGAAGCCCTCGTTCATTTGAGTCACAGCTGGCACTCGCTAGCCGATCATTTTTTGAAACATAATTTCTACATGATACCTGCTGCTACTACTGCAGTGGCTGCCGCCACTAGCGGTTCTGCCAGCGCCGCGGTTAGCTAGTGGACTAACGGAACCAACGAACAGACACCTTTGGCCCTCTCATGCAGCCACAATAGCGGCGGTCCCCTTTCCAGTCGGTGGACGTCGTTGGTCGGAGCGCGAGGGCAGGCCTTTCGCTGGCTCACTCTCCGATTCAGCGGACGGGCGGGCGGTCAGGTGGGTAGATAAAGTTTCTTCCAAACTGCATTGATACCATATTGAGTGAAACGGCACGGAAAAGTTAGTTAGATTTCAAAATTTTACATGCAAATACGCCCTTAAGCATCATTTAAGCTGTGGATTTTTTCCTGTTAGACACCTGGTGAAAAATTGGTTAACGCAAAAGATTTCCTTCAAGATCGATCTGGATATTCGAGATCTTCCCGCCTCTACAACTCGAGCCGACTAACCCGCCGTCTGCTCTCCCCCTCCGTCTTAGAGAGGGTGAGCTCCTTTTAAGCACCTGAGCGTTGAGCGGTGGCGGTACAGTCGACTGCTGGTCCATTGGTGTCTGTTTGTGACCGGACAGGGGCTAGAAACATCTCGTGAACAATGGCTGAGAAGAAGAAGGGATTCGATCCCATGTCCTTTGCGCAAGATTTCGTGGCTGGTGGTATCGCTGCCGCCGTATCGAAGACCGCTGTAGCCCCAATTGAGCGCGTCAAGCTCCTGCTCCAGGTCCAGCACGCCTCGAAGCAGATTGCCAAGGACCAGCAGTACAAGGGCATTATCGATGTCTTCGTTCGCATCCCTAAGGAGCAGGGCTTTACAGCTTTCTGGCGTGGTAATCTTGCCAATGTCATCAGGTACGTTTGTTCCATCACGTGAAGTGTCATTTTGGACACGCTGACTTTCAGTGAAGTTCTACCGTGTACATGTTATTTACTGCAACCCAAATCGCGCCATGGGCCACCCGGGTGACATTGAGCCACCTCCGCCATCTTGACTCGGGTCGGCTCCGAACCATGCCCAGTAGGGCGGTTTGGGCCTACTTTGGCCTTTCACGCGGCCGATATTTCCGCGCGATGCAATTTGTTCTTGTGTGCACCCGTGTACGCGTGCCATGAATGCGTCTAAATTTATGTGATGTCCATGCGTGGAAACGCTCTGCGTGAATGGTATTAACCCGAACATGATTATGTGCATTCGATTTGCAGGTACTTTCCTACTCAGGCGCTGAACTTCGCCTTCAAGGACAAATACAAGCAGATATTCCTTGGTGGAGTGGACAAGAAGACTCAATTCTGGCGTTACTTCGCCGGTAACCTGGCCTCAGGCGGTGCCGCCGGAGCCACCTCGCTCTGCTTCGTGTACCCCCTTGATTTTGCTCGTACCCGTTTGGGTGCCGATGTGGGCAAAGGCGCTGGCCAGCGAGAATTCACCGGCCTTCTCGACTGTCTCAAAAAGGTGACCAAGTCCGATGGTATTATCGGTCTCTACCGTGGTTTCGGTGTATCTGTCCAGGGCATCATCATCTACCGAGCCGCTTACTTCGGCTTCTTCGATACCGCCAAGGGCATGCTGCCTGACCCCAAGAAAACACATATTGTCGTTTCCTGGGCTATCGCACAGGTTGTCACGACTATCTCAGGTGTCATTTCATATCCGTTCGACACTGTCCGTCGTCGTATGATGATGCAGTCCGGCCGCAAGGGAGGCGACATCATGTACAAGGGTACCCTCGACTGCTGGGCCAAGATCGCCAAGCAGGAAGGCCCAGGTGCATTCTTCAAAGGTGCTTTCTCCAACGTTCTTCGCGGTACCGGCGGTGCTTTCGTGCTTGTCCTTTATGACGAGATTAAGGCTATCCTTTTCGCTTAGAAAAATTAAACAATTCATAATAAAAAAACAGGCAGCTGTGTTTGCAGCAACAGTATATTGGCGCCATGTAGGCGAAATTAGTCGCCTCCGTGACGTCCCTAATCTGCCATTGATTTTTCATATACGTGCGAGCTAAAGGTAGAGGAAGAATCAAAATGAATGAGAAAAAGGGATACAAAAAAGGAAAAAATAAAACACAGCAACGTAGAGAAGCAAAGCAAGCTCCAGTGTAATCGGAATTAGTTCACGAGGCAAAACTTATAGTTCACCAATATGTTACAATTTAATTAGCAGAAGAAGTACGCATCTTGGAAACGAGAGACGAGAACGAGACCAACTGACAAGGCCGAAGATGGTGGATGCTGCGTGATTCGCGTCCACAACTATCAGAAACCAGCGTTTTTATGTAGGCTCTTTCGCGCGCAAATACGCCATTCCGACGGACAGAGACGAAAGCGAGAATGGAACACGCAAAGCGTCGTATGAGCAAAATGCTGACATAAAATGATGATGTTACGATGAGTGCAATGGTCAAAGAGTCGTATAGCACCATCACAATGTGCGAGATATCTACTCTATTATTGCTATAGTGTGTTGTTGCAATTGTGGCCCATGCGTGTCCATGGTGGCTGCTTTGGATACGTCGAGTGGTAAAGCAGACAGTGTCCTGAGTTGTCTGCGGCAGAGTCTGCTATTATCGTTTGGCGGATCCAACCCAAAGTGCAAGCAAACTATTTAGGAATGTTACTAGTGAGAAAGGAATACGAGTGAAAGAACGACACCAAACAACATGACTTACGCAAGTTAGAATGGAACTTCAATTTTAATCTCAACTTATTGAAATACCGAAAACTAAAAAAACAACGGGAAACTATCTGACCAAGGAAAACATATGAAGAAGTAAAGACATGACACCGATAACAATAAGCTACCACCACCGACAACAACAGTACTAAAGTTAATTCGTAGCAACGATGAAAAAAAGACGCAATATATACAAAGAGAGATGACGAAATGTATAAACATTAAGGCCAGCAAAATAAATGGATGGTGAGGGTAAATTCACAGCAAACGTGCTCTTTTCTCGCTTAGTGTCTACCCTTATTAATCTGATGGGAAGGCATCGCTTCGTGACAGGTTCCCTCTTTTGTAGATCACACCGGTCCAGTATATAATAGAGGGACAGATGTGTTCGCAGTTCTAATTGCAGAAAATAGAACAGGCCACCTGATTTTTCCTACAACAAGAACTCTATAACAACTCAGATTAGAAAGTGGGTGGGAGATAAATGCCATCCTATAGGTTAACTAGCACTAGATATCCTTTTGCACTAGGATATATATATATATATATAGAGAGAGAGAGAGAGAGAAAGAGAGAGCGAAAGGGAATAGCAAATACGCTTACTTATGGAGTAAATGGACAGTCACATGGGCATGGCGACACTTAGACAAATATAATTATACCAATTATTTGTCAGCATCAAATTAATTGTAGAAGTTAGCTGCCGTTCGTAATTAATCATAATATAAGGTCTTCGCTCGCCTTCCACAGAAGTCCAGAACAACTACCAAGGTTTTGACCGGAATCTCTCCAGGGGTCCACTTCGGAATCGTTACCTAACAGTTCTTAGAGTGACTACGGACTGTGCGAGGCAAAGCGCCTTTGTTGTACAATGTCATACCCTCATCTAAATATAACACAGGAATATACATACGCGCAGACAGACACATACAGAGCAGGTAATACGCGCGATCACTTTATGAAATTTCTTTATGGGTGTTTTTGTGTGCGTGGATGGCAGCGCATGGCCTTGTAGAATTAGACCACGCTGGCCGGTCTAAGCTGCTCACCGCCTTCGGAAGACCCTCTTACTGAATCGAAATGGCCTATGCTAGCTTGTTTGAAGAGCAAAGCGATTTTCATCTGCCTCCTGCCAAGTCCGGTACACGCAGTAGTAAAAGAGTACTCTGGTAATGGCAGTAGCTACGGCGTGTGGTATACTCAGACAAACCTCGGTGACTTTGACACTGGCTATTAGTTACTGCTTGTAGCCCGCTTGTCGCTGGTTGTTCTGAGCGTCCTGTTGTATAGGGGCTAATTCAGCAGCTAACCGCGAGTGACCAGTTCGGGCAACGCAACCTCGTTTGTCCTGACCTCTCCTCGAAACGATGCGTGAAGGCCATCAAGGTCAGCTGGGAGTCAATCTAGTCTTTGTTTCTTATTTAGTGTTTTTGCATTTCCTCTAGCCGGAAGTCGCGTTATCTCTGGCATGGTTTCACACAAAGAGCGCTACACCAAATAAGCCACAAGCGCTAGTAACGTGATGTCACGAAATGGCTCAGCTCAGCTCGGCTAGACCCAGCCCAGCAAACGCTGAAGCAAGATAAATCAATGGACTGATAAAGACACCGACAGGTGATTTTGGATTCGATTATAGCGGTAGCTGCATCTGCCCACGTGCTAGAATAAAAACAGCAGGAAACGAATATAACGAGTGGCATTAAGCCACTCGGAATCAGTCCGCCTGCCGACAACTTCCCGGGGTCCATGAATGCGGATGAACACATGCAATTTAATTAGGATTCTAGCGGTGTTGACCACGTTGTCCCGAGTAACAAACCTTTTCTTAAGAGAAATATCGAGGAGCAATAATATCCGTAAGCTATAAAAAATTTAATATATGTTAAGAGAAGTCACCTCTGTGAAAACTTCTCACTCTGTAAAGATACAAGTCCTGCTAAGAAAGTCTGACAAATTAAAATGATACATGCCGCGATTTACCGTTTTGCGTTGTACTTGGCTCGACATTGTGAGCGGATTGTGTGATAGGTACTGAAAGATGACTACAAGAAGCTGCCAATATGAGGCAAGATAGTGTCCAGGTAATAGCGCAGTCTCTCTTTAACAAACGCTGATAAGCCAATTAATTTCTAACAAAAGTTGTTATGCTTGCTAAAGTGAACAAAAATTTTATAATATTTCGCATAGAAGTGGAGCCTTCTCAATATTATGACCATTTTAGCTCTTAACCATCTATAGAGCATTCGTCATTGATATGGCGCATTTGATTAGAAGAAATAGAATCGGACGAAGGAAAAGATCCACCATTATTTATTTCTAAAGCATCCCTTAAGCTTTTTTTGACTTTATTTCATTCTGTATTTCGCATATAAATAGATTGGCCATTTTCTGAGATAGCGATCCCGTCATTAGCATACATAGTGTCACTTCCTGACGGACGTTTATGATTAACCATTTCTTTCTCTTAGAGCATATATATATACAGCATTTGATTGCATTAAGACGATCTCCCATCTTGCCTGGGCAGGTCTACCAGTGAAGGTTGAAGACCCATTGCCACCTCATAAACATTAGAAATAGCATAATTAGTTCTCAGCTAGCCCGATTCGACGTATACCTTAGCAAATATTTACTTCGATGTAATACTATTCTTTGTGGGACTTGGAATAGCGTTTCCTTCTCTTACTCAACTAGACTATATCCATAAATGGCTGGTTGAGTTTCGCACAATTCCATTTATTAATGATAGTCTTGACATCATAATACGCATCACAATTAATGCCAAAACCTTTCTGCTCATTGAGAATCGTGTAATACCCTGGAGAACGCGTTGTGTGCAGTTTCCAGATCGAAGACCATTTGACGAACCTGTTGTTCGCTCAGTTCGTCCGACGCCGCCATCGTTGCCATAGTTTCTAACCTGCAAGTAAGAAACTTCTATAACACACACATCTCAGAAGATTCCGCTGAGACAGCTGAAACGGTTTCATTTTGTGGCTTAAAAGCTAGAACTGACTTTTTATTTTTGTTATTTTGCATTATTCTAAATTATAACGTGCGAAGATTGGAGATAAGTCTTTAGGTAAAAGAAGGTAGAACGGTTTTCCATAATCAAACAACTGATTTCTACTATTTTCAAAGCATTTAAAACTATTTATCACTGTGTAGAAACGACTTGCGTTACTTTAGTCTTTATAACTTAGCAAACGTTCGAAGTAAGTCCATATTTGCTTCTGATCACCATTAAGTCATCAGTTACCATCACACTGCCGCAGGCTCTGCTACAACGTACATTTTACATTATTGTCACGCTCAAATTCAAGGACCTTGCCTACCACGCTTAAGTACACGTAAGAACGGTCTACCTTAACAGATCGTGACACCAGCAGAACACAAAAAAGCACCTGTTTAAACTATTCGAGCTACAAAATTGCAAAAAACAGCACGTAGTAAACTCATGTGGTATTATATGCTATAAGTACGAGCTTGTTGCAGTGCTTCGCTTCCGGTGCGACTTACGTTCCTCGTGTAGATTACTCTTCAGCTATGCAAGTATCGTGACAAGTCTAATGACAAGATCGAAAAAAAATGCTCCTTTTTGATTTTTTCGTCCCCAACATCTTCTTGAGTCACATGTTTTTTAAAAGATTGATTATTTAGTTATATTGCCAAATCGAAACTTTTCTATTTTAGCCAATCTTCTCTTATCTAGCCAACGAATCGCGACGAAGACGTTTAGCGAATGAATCTACCCCATCCTTAAACAAATAAGGCCACAAGCTATAGCTATTAAGATGATATCATCATGTCGCCGTTGATATTGCTGTCAACAATAACAATTGGGAAGCAACCGATTAGCTACCTGTCATCGGTTCAAAAATCTTTTTTTATCAACAATATATGGTTGCACAAGAATATACGAAGTGCCCCTCGAAGCGCCTTACACCTAAATGTTAATATTGCTGGAAAAACTGCTAGGAACTTCTAGGACCATATAACGGCAAATGCCAAAGGACCAATAAACGATAAGTCAACCTCACTTGATTGTATCGTCCGCCTTTATTACTTGCAATAATAACTTGACAAAAGGCTCACGGTTGGTTTTGCGACCTAATCAATTTAGAATAAATTGGAAGTGAAGTAATTACTGTTTAGTCGCATCGGTTAAACCGCAGATAAGCAATGCCACAAAAATCCGAACAGTTGTAAATAAATTATCTTCGTCTAGCGACCATCAAATTATCCCATATTTAATTCAAAGTACCCCATGCTCAATCTACACCATATACGGTCTACCGTTTCTTGTGTTTGGCCATCTTCGACGGTGAGAAATTGAGGCCTTATAGTAGTTTGATTTTTAAGATCTTGTCTCAAACGGTGGCATTTGAATTGTTGTATTACCCGAAACTTATTCTCCATATTAGAAAAGCAATTCACATTATCAAATGTACAGACTACGTTTTTATAAACAGCAGAATTTCTTTGTTGAAATGTACCTATATTCAGTAGATATTCACAGAAATGTTAAGCCTACATCATACAGCAGATCATTCCCTATATTAAAGGTAATTAGCCATAATTTGACTACAGAGATACCTGGCTTTAGAGGAAATGATTAAAGAAGCGTACAGACAGTTGGATTCGTTCGGAAAGGGTCGCTCGCACTAAGCAAATCAATAACTTAATAATAACTTAATAATCAATAATAAACTGCATTTATTTCTCTCTAGTAGGAACCTAAGAAAAACGTACTGAACTGAATACTGATCACAATGAACCTCCAGACTTTAGACTAAAGGTAGCCAATAAGTAAGTAAATAAATAAATAAATAAAAATAAATAAAATTATTAGAAGTGGGTTATGCGTGTAAAATCACGTACTGAAGATTGAGAAAAAGATTTTCTTGCTATCCACACATACTTGGGGTACCGAATAGAACTTAATGTATCCGTAGTAAATTTAGGTCACGCATTATATTGCCCTTAATAACTACAAAACTACTAAAATGTTTTGAGCTTTACGTCCGGTACTCGCGTGAGGCATCATTTCCGATGGCTAGCTTCCCGCATAAAATGTTTAAATGTGTTGGGTTTCGGATCTCGGCACCATGTATCTTTAAGTTTGGTAGGTAAGCACGTTACCACTACCTTATCGATTGGGATAATTACAGGCAACTACAAAGATTAGGTCTGTTACAAAGTTAAATTTGTACTCACCACTTGGCCACGATTGCTTTTCCTTCAAAATCTGCAGGCAGAATGCTTAGGCGACTCATGGTCTCCTGGAGCTCCTTAAGATCCGGCTGTAGTTCGTCCATCGAGCTAATGTTCAGCCGAAGCTTGTCAATAGTAGTGATAAAAAGCTAATGGATTACAATTAAAGACGACAACCAATGTAACGTTAGATGATGCGGTACCTCGTATTCTTACGATTCGTTCCCTAAACACCGATAGAACTGACTAGTGCATATGCGTACAGGGTGACACCATAACGAAGATGGGAATTCTGCAGTTATCATGAGGCTAATACTTACTGAGACGATGTCTGCGATACATTTCGAAGTATTTCCTCGATCATCCTTGATCGTAATGGGCCTATCTTCGCGGATTCTCTCGAGGGCCGCCGGGCAGTCCAACTTGAACGCCGAGATAAATTGCTCTACTGTCGGAAATCCTTCACCCTGGACCTGTTTGAAGGCCGCCTTATACTGAACAAGCAACTTTGAGCAGGCGGCAGTATACCTACAATTGAAATATTAAAAAGTGTAAACAAATTATGAAACGTACTTTTAACTGTCGGCCAAAATTGGTAGCAATTTAAGTGTTTTGCTTTTTCTGCATGTTCAGTACTTGCTCAATATCTGTACTCGTGCAGCAGCTTCGTACTGCTTAAAAAGATGGATAGCAAAGTTCTCTGCAATCTATGAGCTAGTTGTACGGATTGTCACTAACTGTATAAGCAATAATTTACAGCAAACCTGTCTCCAAGGGCATTTTAGTCTTCATGGACTTCATAGGTCATGAGGTACAATCTCTTCATAACTGTGATGTTTCAACAAGACGAAACCTTTGCCAGTTCATCACAACTGTATTAAACTATGAAATATTAATTAGATGAAAAAAAGTAAATATTTTGTTCCATATAGCATCCGACTAGGACAAAACATTTTCTTTAAATTTTATTTTTTGTTGCTATAGAGACGACAAATTAACTTTTACCTTAAAACCGGTTGGGGTTTCTGGTTTAACTTTGTGAGGTCTAAATTTCGACATTTTGTTTTTTGCTGTTATTCATATATAGCAAAAACAACTTGTACCTCGCGGTGATAATAATAAAAAAAAACCGCTCCACCGATAAATATTTTACTCATTGCTTTAAATATGAATTACTAAGACGACAATTGAAAAATACAAAGCAGCTGTGTGCCGATAGCCGATGAACTGGAAATATTTGATTAACATAAATCGTCTAAAACCTTTTCGATACACTAGCCAATGAAGTTGCTTTGGTCTAAAAGGTTAACTATATCAATACAATAACTATGTTAATAAATTTAAGAAATTAATAATGATATAGCACTTGTCAATAGAATGACGCACTCTTTTGGTGTGACGGCATCTTTGATATAAGCCTTTTCTAGGCATTGGAGTGTGGTGATTACAGAGTACAGATCGGCCATGTTGTCGTACCTAAAAAGTCGTCACACAAAGATATGATCAAATAAAGTTACCGTTGATGTTATTATGAATATGTTTATGGAATTACATTACATATATTTAGAGTAGCAGCAATAAATCTTAGATACTTAGAGTGTATTTACTAAGGTTTTTCTGCCCACCTGGTCCTTTCCCTCGAAGTTCTGTAAAGCCGGACTTCCTCGTAGAGCTCCGGTCGATTGTCTGCATAAAGATAACAGCACAAAATAATATTAATGTTAAAACCGGCAACTAATCAAAAGAATGAAGTATCAATCACTTCTGATTAAATGATTACCCTATCTGTAGCATCTGTAATGGATCTCACGAGCAGCAGCAGCAGCAACAGCAATTCTCAAATAATGCCTCTAAGTTGCGGCAAATACATAGTGTCCGCATACATTGCATTTACTTCGATTTAAATTTTTTTCTTGAACTTCATTAAGCAATACTGCACCGTGATATTTAACTAAAGATTACTCAGTGAAAACAGGTGGGGCAACTGTGCAAATATAGTTTGAAGCCTATGCGTCATTATTAATAGACGCACTCAGACACGGGAACCCTACGCGCGACGGCGGTTTTATGCCTGTCATTTCACACAATTATTTCACTTGGACTGGCGCTTCGTTCACTTGCTGCTGATTCCACCTACTCATTTTGACATACAATAGCTGCTCGTTATGATGCAGTTTGTTATTCGATGCCTCGTAGGCTCTAGCCAAAATGTCCGATTGCAAATTGACGTTCTCGAATAGGATAGTAATCACATTATGAAATATACCATTTTGCGTTTGGATGAGACCTGCAAACGACGACATTGCGATGTTTACGTTCACAGCAACTGGCCGACGAATACAGCTCGCAGCATGCGGAATCTTCATCAACGACCGCTGCTGTTACTACATCTACTACTGCTGCTGATGCTGCTGTTGAATGCCAGGGGCTGCGTCAACATGCTAAGCCATCTTTCGAGCCTCTCATCAATTTCTGTTCTTAGAAATTATAACTTTTTGCAAAACGAGCAGGATCTTATAAAAATTCTTGGTAAAATTCGAACTCCTTAGCTCGCCCTTCTGAGGACAAACGCTACGTAGGAAATTATGGATGAATATATATATATATATATGTATATATATATATATATATATATATATATATATATATATATGTATATATAGAGGGTTCTCTGAACGTACGGTGGTCAATGCGCCATCTGACGACTAAAATAAAAATTGCTAACGATAATTAACATGGCAATTTTCTCATAATGTTTGGCTTTCGGACACGTGTTATTAATTCGATACGTTTTCTACGTTTCTCGATTGATTTTTTCGATTAAGCCGATCTATACTACAAGGGTGAAATAAGACCGTGTGCATGTGAGGGGTCAACGCTGATCCGTCAGGCAACTTTGAATTTTCGCGCTCAGCAAAGCGAGGTGGTCGGTTCGGCTGCATTGAGCCGCCTATAAAAATTCAACCATCTTTGGTCGCTCCTTGCTCAGCTTCTGTCGGTGTGAAATCGTTTTTCGTTAGCAACTGGGCCTCGTAGCCTATTCAAGACGTGTGTTTGTGTGTTGTAGGGCCGTTACGTTGAAGTGTTCTATATGAGAGTTGTGGAGTGCGATTGCCGGTAGCCTAGTCAACGTGCACAATCCGGCTGGAATAGTAGTTGTAGCCGTAGAAAGTAGAAATGGCCAACGGTGGCTGTGTGGTATGGCAGCCCGCGGAGCAGGGTCTCCAACAGATCCTGCAGCTACTGAAGGAGTCGCAGAGTCCCGACACAACGATACAGCGTACAGTACAGCAGGTCAGTATGCGATTGTGTGTCTCTGTCTGTGTAGACGGCTCTCACTTCCGAGTGCTAGCCATAATGCCGTTTCCATTTACCACTACAATTACCACTACAGACTGGTTATAATTATTACTAAAGCCGTTCCATCATTACTCATACTCTGGGTGCTGTTGATTGTATCACTGCAATACAGTAAGGCGAGCCGATACGATAGTCTAGCTATACGGGTTCATTGCTCTACTCGTTTGTTCGCTAACAAGTTGTCATGAGTCAGGGAGGGAGCACTTGTGAGGAATCTCCGATACAACATGCACGCGTTGGACGATTTGAGCTAAAACAGCTTCAACGAATTACACAAGTGTTTGGCAAGCATTGCCAACTGAAGTGTCGCCGACAAAAATTTGTGCTCGCATAAACACATTGTCATGGGTTGAGACTTCTGTTTTGCATCACAGAACACCTGCTGGTATGGCAAAGAGCAGGATACTTTGAATAAAATAGTGCAAAAGGAGCTGCTGTTGGATATTTATTTTTCGGACTCAAAATAGACTGACGGACCGAGGACGAAAAGTTGTTAGACCATTAACGACAAGAAGCCCTTGCCAATAGCCCGCACGGCGTACCATCACTGCTAACAGGTTTAGCTACAACAGTGTGTTGTTCACTTGGTGGGTGCCAATATCCTGTAAATGTGACGTTTTCGGCCACCTCTTCAGCCACCGTATACCTCAACGATGTTGGTGTTCCGTCGACTATTACTAAAAAAGTTTTATATCCAGTACCGTCGTTAGATGTGGTGTAATACGGGATTAGTTAGGCTGCTGCTGCTGTTAATAATTTTAACTGCATCTATCGTACTGCTGGTGTCTAACGGAGGACTGCCCCAGGGACGGCAACCGTCATTGAATTTGCGACGACGTTGTGCTCTGTTCGGATGAATGGCTTCCTGTTTTTCTCCAGTCAGCTCCAGGAATAACTGGCTGATTCGCATTGTTGTGCTGCGATGCCCCAAGTCCGTAAGACGCAACGAGCAATACAACGTTAGGCATTGGTAACAGCAGCAACAACAACAACAAAAACAATAATAATAATAATAACATTAGCGAACGGCACAGGTTGGGTTGAGTAAATTAGATGACTGTGGCGGTCGTGCTTAGCAAGGAGAAATAACGCTGACTCTATGGCGAGGTGGACTGCTTCGGGTCGGTACAAGTCGACGTTCCGACGGCCGGTCATGCGGTGCCCGTATTATCTCAGAGGCTACGAAGACAGACTTCGCACCTTTCTGTGTCCTGTCTCGTTTTTGTTTTCTGCTCACGAAGTGTCACTTCGCAAAGCACACATTTAGCCAACTGCAATACACCAGCAACGTTTGCCTTGGCTATGCAGACTTAACAACTTGTGTTGTTGTAGTGTTAGCGCTATTGTTAAATTATCTTGCTTTTAATTCGCCAGCTGTTTGGCATCAGTGGACGTGTTTAAATCTGATCACTGCTGCAGGCCAAACCTTATAGTATATATAAAGCATGCTATTATGGTTTTCTTGTCATCATTGCTTTTGTTATGTAGTCGAGTTTGTTTCGTGTACAGTCTATTCATATGTTCTCTAGTGACATCACTTCACACCACTGATCGTATTCGCCCTCTCTATAGTAGGCTTTCATGCGACAAGACGAGGACGGGAAGCCTAAAAGCTATTAGCCACTTGGATGGTTCGTGAACTTGACATTTCGCCGCGGCGTTGCTTCGACTATTTTGAAAGGGCTGTCTATGTTGTGCTACGAGTATATACATGCTGGTTGCTCTCTTTTGCTTTTCCTGAAGAAGCAAAAAGGGCAAAGGCGGGTTGCTTTCCTCCAACGGAAAGGAATGTTGTTCCTGAGTTTCTTTGTGGGTCAAGCCCGCATCCACAGTAGCACATGTGTTCACCTGTGATATAAAACTTTTTTGAATTCTGTTAGCTATTAAAGTACACAAACCATCGGTCGTTTTGTTCTATAGCGCTATTAAAGGTGTGATATTTTCAATACTCTTGTATTGAGTTCCCTTTGCATGCGCATGATAGTGCAAACATATAAAATACGACAATTTTGATGTGAAAAGGGTAGAGAACTAGAACAGCTTGTTGTCGATTTGTAACGTTATGACAAAGCTAGCTTAAACTTATATATTTGTAGTATTTAGCATAGTATTAGTTACTTACTAAATATTAGCTGATCAAAATATATGGTGTAATTTAGCTCAAGTATAAATTTGTCTGGCTTTCATGGAAAAGAAAAAATACCGAGCTTTGCAGGAAAGAAATAATTTGTTTTTCTTACACGTGCATAATCTTCATAACGCGTGTTGTAATTTTGGACATGTCACATGTGTTTAAATGTGTGCTGTTTTCAGTTTAATCGCGCTACTTGTGTGCAGATAAGACGCTAAAACTATTCAGCTCGAATATATCCTTCTGATAAAGATGATTTCTAAATTGATTATGCCATGTTATTGAGTAGCTCTCGCAGTGGTATATAATGGGATTATAATTCTCATAAACCATTTGGACAGCTTATAATCCATCAAGCGGTTACCTCTGAACAGCTTTCTCCTGTTGGAAAATATGGACTACTCGTTTTTCCAAATTAAATCAGGTTCTAACGCATGGTTAACTGATGAAAGCCGCCGAGGAACGAAGCGGTAATGCAACAAAATTCATCAGTCAACCTTTCCAGACTGTTAGCAGTTCGTTTAGATGTTCCGATTGCTGTCTAATGGAAATGTCTGCGATTTGTATTGATTGTGTAAAATTCTAATTCGTCCAGGTGAGTGAGACTCGCAGTACTGTCACATATTTAGCGAAGTGGACTCCCGTCTTTACACATTCTTAGTTATCCGTTGATTATAGTTGTTTTAAAGTGGCAAATAAAAGAAATCTTGGTTGGCTCGTTTTCCTTAAAAAAGGGAAAAAGGAAAAACAAATGCTTTTCGGTGACTGTTGTACAGGAAACAGCTAACAGCTGAACAGTTTTTTGGTTTCCCACAAGTGTTTCCACAAGACGAAGAATTGTGATTTATCAATCCTCTGGACTGGAAAGGCTCCATGACTGCATTTATGCACTCTTAAGGTATCAAGTTGTTATCAGAGGAGTTTATAAAATTAAAGATCATGCTGCTTTAGTTCGATGTTATGTAAATCTGCCGATAACTTACTTTCTCTGTACATTGAATCGAGTACATTTTGATGTTTCGATGCATGCGCCGTGTATGCTCATCTCTGTGCTCGCTATCCGGTAAAGATTTTCCTATTTTTACAGCACTGCTGGTAAAGATCGCATCTTAACGGTTATTGGTTTCTTCGATACCACATTTCATTCATCTCAATAATACTGTCGCGACCTGTGTTAACGACCAGCATTGTTCAATGATAATTTTTTTGTAGAACTTGAAGGCTATTTGTTGTGAGGTTGTGACGACTTAGTTTAAACAAGCCTCAGTAAAGCGGAGTCATAATGATCCTAAGTCCTAATGATCATATGATCATTAGGTGTCCGCCATACACCTATAACGAATAACGTACTTGTATTTCGAAACAAAGAAAAATTTAAGCTAGCGGAGCATAAACTGTTTGTGCGCAACGATGTGCCCTGCTCTTACGCACCAGATCGTATTCACATGGTCTGAGTTTGTGTTCTTTTTCCGTCAAAATATAGTTAAATACTTTAAGTAACTGAGACAATATATGGTTACTTTAAACATTATATGCAACGAACTTTACGTTACCTCTATGTACATTTAAGCATTATTCACTCATGATCTGGCGTCGACACCTACATGTATAGCAAAATGAAATTGCACCATACTGTCTTTCTGTATTGCCCATACATTGTTTAGACGATGCCTGTCTGAATTAAATTGGGACATCCTTTTATGCTTCATATACACTTCATACACACATACGCAGTGATTTCGTAATCTGTAATATATTGCTAAAAAATGGACTGGTAAAGGTTACAGTTGTTTCAGATTGAATTGTTATAAGTTGAATCAATGCGTGCTTAGGTTATCAAGTGCCGGTTAATTTAACGTGCTGAGAAGAGCTGCCACGAATACTGGGTATAATAGATAGTTGCTTTATTTAAAATGGCGCCTACTTAGGAGATTAAGAGGCTTCTTACGATCCAATGGGTTGTTAGCAATAGATTAGGGGGAAAGAATGCGATGACTACAACGTTTACAATGTGGTTTTGTAGGAACAAGAGAAGCGTTTTTTTTTTACCTTATTTCGTTGTACAGATTGTCATCGATTTGAATGCTCGTGTAAATGGATGTTTATGCATATATAGAAGAATCCGAAGCGACAACATACTTTAAATTCTTATCTTTAGGGGCTATGTGATTGTTTTTTTCTTTATTGAAAAGATAGTAAAAAAATTAGGAGTTCATATTGAGTAGTAAAGGCCAATGTGAGGTTTCCTTTCACCGCACATAAGTGCAACCTGTCGCTAACAAGCATCGTTTGATCTTGGGTTTGTTCACGTATTGCCTCTGCAATTCTCCTGCCGATCGATTAATCTCTATCTTGAACCATAAGTTTGGGATAGGAATTAGATTAACCCGCTTTATCGACAGATTTTTAGCTGGTCAGCCATTGAAATTTGTTAGAATATCATCGGAAAGTGGTAAATCAACGTAAGTTATTGATAGCTGCTTCCAGGGCTGTAAAACACGTGATATACTCAAAGGGCAAATGACGAATAGCAGTAGTTATTCAAGACTTGATAACATTCCACTTAATATTCCGACGGTTAGTTTTCTCATTGTTTAATGCATAATATATATTTGAAAGATGATTAATGGATCGAAAAGCCTTTATCGGCAAATGCGCAACAAACAGTTGTTAAAATTCATTAACAAATCTTGACGGGTGGTTGAATTATTTTCTAATGTTTAAATCACAAGCTATTCTTGTACGGAGGTGATCATTGTTTCTTATTGTGTAGTTGGCCTGGTTGCCTTAGTTGCAAGTATGATTATTATTTGAAATTCAGGTATTTCATGATACGCAGAAGTCATAGATATAAAATACTTCATTGGTGTGAATATAATTTTTGTTTGCAATATGAAAAATATGGATGAATCTTATTTTTCCGCTGCTTATGTTCGAAAATCAGCTTTTTTTTCACGTTTTTTTCACGATCCTTCAGGTTTCAAAACGTAGGTTATGTGAGGGGACGGCGTATATTTAAACTGATAAGGTACATCACAAGACTATGTAGTGCAAGTGTTGCTTTTACTCATTTTTTAACCCGAGTTCTAAACGCACATGTTTTAGCAAAAAAAAAATAAAACAATAGGGAATAACCTCAAGTATTTGTATTATTACTATCAAAAATTCTAAGTGTGATGCACTTTTCGATCTTACAGAAACTTGAAGATCTGAACAAATATCCAGATTTCAACAATTATCTGATCTTCGTCCTAACGAAACTTAAAACAGAAGAAGACCCTACGCGTTCATTGTCGGGACTTATCCTTAAGAATAATGTCCGAGCACATTTTGACAAATTTCCGCCTGAGGTAAGCTTTGCAAAGGATAAAGTTGTTGTTACAGCTTGTCTTAAAGTCTGTTGTGTTAGCGTAATACTTGCAGTATACCTACTATTTTGTTTGTAATTAATATATATATTTCCAAGGTCAACGACGCTGCAGCCGAAATGTCAACTCAGTATATACATACATATTCCTACTTTTATTAATCTGATCTATGTACTCGCCGTTGTTTTAAAAACGGCTCTAACATTCCGGTTACTTGTCATTTACGTAACCTGGTCAACCTGTGTCGTGTGCGCGAAATGAGCAGGTGTCTGAGTTCATCAAATCGGAGCTTTTGGGATGCCTGGGTGATCCCTCAGCGTTAATTCGCGCCACTGTCGGAATTCTCATCACGACAATCGCATCTCGAGGTGGACTGTCTCGATGGCCTAAGCTTTTGCCCTCACTGTGCGTTTTGCTCGACAGTGAGGACTACAACGTTTGCGAGGTGAGACGGACAGAACTTTTCGAAATTTGTTTTCACGTATCTATTGAGGTTTCAAGCGGTATCTGCAGCAATTCCTTGCTTTTGGGTCAGTGCAAGGCTGCTTGAGCATATTTTTACAACCAAGTTTTTGTAATATTGGAGCCTGTTTTTACTTTTTAAGAAAAAGTAAGGCTGTAGGTATTCTTATCATTTTCTCTATATCGTGCCGGTAAGCTTATCGAATGTGTGCCGTTTAAAACAGGGAGCTTTCGGTGCTTTGAAGAACATCTGCGAGGACAGTGCGGAGCAACTGGATTCGGACGCTTTGCAACGACCCCTCAATCACATGATACCTAAGTTTTTGCACTTTTTCCAACACAGCTCGGCCAGGATCCGGGCACATGCCGTAGCCTGTGTCAACCAGTTCATCCTTAGCATGCCGCAGGCGCTTACACTCCACATTGACACTTTTATCGAGGTAGGTCACGGTATCGATCCAGAAAATTAATAGTTTATACTATCAAGTAAAGTTTAGACGTCCACCTGCCTGGAATTTGCCCCAATAATAGGCGACAATGTTGTATACATGTCGATATAACAAGCAGCGATCGATGATATATACTAATTACTCTCGAGTATAGGTCTCAACTTGTGAAATTCTACGAAGCGTTTTCAATTGAATGCGAACATATTTTTCTGCATTTCTGTGTTCTATGTTACTGTGCAAAAATTATGTATTTCCCATTGTTATCGACAACTGAAATGTTGTTTGTTATATCATCAGGGCCTGTTCCGACTTGCTAGGGATGATGACAAGGATGTGCGCAAGAACGTGTGCCACGCACTGGTAATGCTTCTCGAAGTGCGCGTCGATCGTCTCCTGCCGCATATGGGCCACATTATCGAGTATATGCTCGAATGTACGCACGACGCTGACGAGGCTGTCGCCCTTGAGGCCTGCGAGTTCTGGCTCACCTTGGCTGAGCTGCCGATCTGCCGTGAGGCGTTACAGCCACCTCACCTAGCACGCCTCATTCCCGTACTTGTCCGCGGCATGCGATATTCGACCCTCGACGTCATTTTACTTAAGGGAGACGTCGACGATGACTCAACGGTTCCCGATCGCGAAGAAGATATTCGACCGCGGTTTTATCGGGCTAAAGTGCATGGGGGCTCTTTATCTGGCCAAGGCGGGCCCTCTGAGACATCAGGTCAAACGCATGAGCAAAACGCCAATCAAGAACAGGACAATGATGATGACAATGATCTGGATACAGACGATGATGTTTACCAAGACTGGAATTTGCGGAAGTGTTCAGCCGCGGCGCTCGATACATTGGCTAATGTGTTCCAGAACGAGTTGCTAAGCATCTTGCTGCCCATCCTCAAAGAGACACTGTTCCATCCTGAATGGGTAGTCAAGGAAAGTGGCATCTTGACACTGGGCGCTATCGCCGAAGGTTGTTCTCTTGGTATGACCCCGCACCTGCCTGAACTCGTACCTTTCCTCATCGGGCATTGCCTGAACGACAGGAAAGCCCTAGTAAGGTCGATCTCGTGCTGGACTCTGTCGCGCTACGCGCACTGGGTGGTCAATCAGGAACATACGCAATACCTGCAGCCGCTAATGACCGAACTCCTGAAACGTATCCTCGATCCGAACAAGAAAGTCCAGGAGGCGGCGTGTTCGGCATTTGCCACCCTTGAAGAAGAGGCGTGCACGGAGCTGGTTCCCTACCTGCAGGTAATTCTCGAGACGCTGGTCTTTGCCTTTAGCAAGTATCAGCATAAGAATCTGCTGATCCTCTATGATGCTATCGGCACACTGGCCGAATCTGTAGGCCACCATCTGAATCGGCATGAGTACATTGACATGTTGATGCCGCCACTCATCCACAAGTGGAATGCGCTAAAGGACGATGATAAAGACCTGTTTCCGCTACTCGAGTGCTTGTCATCGGTCGCCACAGCACTGCAGGTGGGCTTCTTGCCCTACAGTGAGCCGGTGTTCCGCCGTTGCGTCTCACTCGTGGAGCAGACGTTGCAGCAGGCGATGGCCCACCAGGCACACCCAGAGCAATATGAGCCGGCTGACAAGGATTTCATGATCGTCGCACTAGATCTACTTAGCGGCCTGGCCGAGGGTCTCGGCGAGCATACGGGCCAACTCGTAGGCTCCTCAACTTTAATGGCACTCCTCTACCAGTGTATGCAAGACTCATCTAGCGAAGTGCGACAAAGCTCGTTCGCGCTGTTAGGCGATCTGACGAAGGCGTGCTTTCAACACGTGCGTCCATGCGTGGCCGAGTTCATGCCCATTCTTGGTCACAACCTCAACCCGGACTCGCTGTCTGTCTGTAACAACGCTACGTGGGCCATCGGCGAGATTTCGGTGAAGCTTGGTCAAGAAACACGACCCTATATTCCTCTGTTCCTGAATCAGCTCGTTGGCATCATCAATATACCATCCACGCCCAAAACGCTGCTGGAGAACACCGGTAAGTACAGTACTTGAAATGCCAAAAGGTTTGATTTTTTTTGTTTTACATCTTGTTTCCTATTAGGAGTACACGTGCGGTTTTTCTTAGGCGGTGGGAAAAATGAGACACTCTTTAAGCTTTTCGTATGCCAGAGTTGATGATCGAACATACTTTCTGAATTTAAAGGTTACGGAGATGGCTGTAATATGCAATACATCGGAATCTTTTGAATTTTTATGAAAGCCGCCTGCGTTGTGAATTTAGCAGGCGCCTTTAGCATCACATGTGTATATATTAATGATATTTAACTACAAGCGTAATTTGCTAAAATAAACATTAAATGCTTGCTCTTCCTTTTGCGGCACTTTAACGTAGCATAATTCACCTTCAAATTTATTATCAAGAAGCACAAGTGTATCTCTTTTTAACCGTAAGCAAAGGTTTTCAAATAGCAATGAAGATAATGATGCTGTCGTCTCAGCTAGTTTATATAAAAAAAAAAAAATGTGAATAATGTTTGCTCTTCATTTCTGAATCTGTTAGGATCAAAGTTTGATTCATGAATCATTCCTTATAAATTGCTTCTCTCTGCGTTTATTGCAGCGATCACGATTGGTCGTCTGGGCTACGTGTGTCCTGCGGACGTAGCGCCCGTGTTGGCACAGTTCGTCAAGCCCTGGTGCATCACCTTGCGGAATATACGTGACAACGACGAGAAAGATTCGGCATTCCGTGGTGTGTGTGCCATGATCGGCGCCAATCCTGCAGGAGTAGTAAACGACTTCATTTACTTTTGTGACGCCGTAGCATCGTGGGTCAATCCCCGGGACGACCTCAAGAACACTTTCGCGGAGGTTAGTCAAAGTGATATTTTGTTGTTTTCGTATAAAAGCAATGATACAGTTTTTATAACGTTAGAAGGCGCAGCGTAATATTCGGCAGCAAAGAAGCACGTAAGACTTCATAAGAACAGTGTGGCTTCAATCTCATAATAAAGCCTGCTAAACCCAAACAGTATCCAATGTTTGTCAAAATTTACAAAAAAAGCGCGGAAAAGTGCAAAGCTTAAATATAATGGAAGTACTGCTCAATGGATTAAACAAAGACTGTATACGATTGGTATTGTTCCTTTACCAATCAAGGTTACCAAGCTCTAATAATGCAAGACTTTTGAGAAGGATGGGACTTTAAGTTCCGGAAAAGTGATATGTTCATCAGGGAATATTCACTGCGTAGGCCTATAATTGTTTGGGGATTTTTAAGGTAAAGTGGTAATCCATTAATACTGGGAACGGTCAATAAATCAAAGGGACACCGAGCGGATTTTTCCTCCAATCTTTAATAATAGGTGCATTCAATCCATTTGGAAACATCAGGCAGTTGACAATAGTTTTTGTTCGCCATCAGCTCCAACTCACCCTTTTCACAAAAACATAGCCAAATGGAGATATTCATAGTATTGAACTTAGCTATAATGGGTGCTATTGCGTGTACAGTAGAGGCAGAAGATCCATCCAATTAAAATGGAGTTGCGATTCTTATTAATTCTTCCTTTTCCACTGGATACGCTCCAGCCTCTCACCCTGCAGGGAAATGCATGGAATCGAAATGTCACGTAGTACGCGGTCGTGCTAGTGTTAGAGCGGCTTACGCATCTTTGGCTGGATCTTCTGATCAATTGCGCGCGACAGCAAACACTTGTGTGAGCAACTCATTTCATTAGGCGATTGTAATTGCTCGCTAGTCCCAACTTCAGTTTTTTTCGGATTGACTACGAAGATTTTCCTTACTTACGCGGATTTGCAGACGGTGCCTCAAAAAACATATGCTCATGAATTTTCTGTCTCATGAGTCGCTGTCGAGCTCAAAGAGGCACCAATACATAATGATATCTTAGTTCCCACGTAATTCTAGCAAACGATGATAGGACCAAACGCATAGCAACCATCAACTTCTTTATCGTTCGACCTCTCAAAGGCAATGCTATTCAATACGTATAAAGCTAGCATATACAAATTGCATAGTTTGCTCTCAACATTGCCAGAGTTCGGATGACACGTATAAAAAAATTTCTGTAGTGTACGTATCGTGTCGAATTGTATACATTTTCGGCGCCAAAGATTAGCATGGCGGTAGAAAAATGACGAACAACCAATATCCATGATTGTGGTTTTCTGTAAGCTTCCTGAGTCATACGACGGGAATTTTGTGGAAAGGTCTCAGTTCAATTGGTGATCGCGGACGAACTTAATGTCTAAAATCAACACGACTGGGCGCTTCACGTCAACGACACTTACTGTGTTGATGTTGCCCACTTGAATATTGAACCCGCTTACGAGTCTGTCACACATCGTGAGCAGTAAGCATATTACCACAATACAGAGTTGGACGAAACTAGCCGAAAACATAGCAGCAACAGGACTGTGCTGAAGTAAGTGATTCACCTTCAGACAAGGGTACAACTACAGTACGTATGGGACGTACACCACAAAATATCTGCATTTGGGAGTTAGTGTTTTTGACGTTCATATACTCGGAGCTCATCACTGGAACCGATAAACTTGTCACTCGTAGATCAAATCTGATTTCAAGAAGCTTTAGGATCAAGCAACCGAAAATAGTATGTAAGAAGGAACTTCATTTTATATAATAATAACACGTATGGCTTTATAAAATGTATATTTTGCCTGCCATTACTTACGCCAGTGTTGTTTGGAAGCCACGGTTCAAACAGCGCCGACGGTCTGTTTAAAATAACTACCCCTATCCAAAAGCTGCACGATGTACTTTCGATGTTCTTAGCATTTTGTTCATACGAATTCTAGATTTTTTATATTACAATGTTTGTTATGCTTTCAAAAACTTTATTATAAAAAAATCCTAGTACTATTTAATCAAATGTTAAATTGTTTTGAAGCTATTATTAAAGGCGGAGAGAATACTGGCCAAAAGGGTTAGTAAAAAATAGTTGTAAACAACCTAGTTTCGTGCAGACTAACTCCGAACTCTACAAACGTGTTGTTTTAGCATAAACCTTGAGTAAGAAAAAAATATATATGCAATATCCTATTTTGTTTCCTTAATAGTCTCCATGTCCTAGATCCCTTACAAATTTCTTGAGTTTGAACGATCCATTAGCGGTAATTCTGCTATCTTTACTATCATTGTTGTTTTTAGATACTGCATGGATTCAAGAACCAAGTGGGCGAAGATGCGTGGAATCGCTTCACGATGCAATTTCCTGCCCCACTGCACGAGAGGTTGCGACAGGCTTATATGTTATAAGTTCTGACACCGATATAAGCTAAAGCACAAAACAATATCAGTAACATTGCAACACCCCGAAAGCGACAAAGCGGCATGTCATTCAACGCCGCGACGACTGAAAAATGATCACTGTGTTTGTGAGTGTTGGTGTGCGTCAACGAATTGCATTCGCCACGATCTGCGTGTTATTCAGTGAGTATGCACGGTCAAGTTAGTGGTGAGCTGTTAGACGAAGAGGATATTCGATTATGACGACTTTAATACCATTGAAGACCAGCCGAGTTTAGTGGGTGAACATCGAAGAGGTGACGTGTGATGATAATTAGAAGGATATAAGGGTGTCGTGATAACTGATGGAGACCAAATTGGTTCTACAGGCCAATTAACAGCAAACTGATCAAGGAACATTTACTAGTGACTGAATACCTGGGGCCTCACAATGCAACTTTACACTAGCAGTGCATCTCTATAATGGCCTAAATAGAAAACAAAGTTGAGTTTGGGGACGGAAAAATGAGATTGCCGTCAGGCTACCCGTCGTCCAGTTAATGGTTCTCAAACCTTCTAAGCAGGTATAGGAAAACAAAGCGACTGGCCACAATTACTACAGGAAAAAGCAGTGAAAACGATCTTCAGTCGCCCAAGCAACAACCAGTAATTAAGAAAAAAACACCTAAGGGACGCAAATATAGTATACGCACCGAATCAGCCAGCATTGGGCCATGCGGGCGGGCAAGTGCTTATCGATGATTCAGAGAGTCGCTCAAGGTGCTATGTTGTGTGCAGAGGTGCGGGCACCTTTACTACACTAATCGATACCGCTTAGACACAAGTTTCAGCGAGGAGCGACTAATTAGCACCATTAGAGCATACTCGAGATCACTCGTAGAAGAGCGTGAAGTCTTGTAAAACCGAGAACCGTGAAGGTTTGAACGAAAGAGCAAATGAGAAGATGGCGTAGATATAAATGTATGGGGAATCGTGACACATACCATCGTTAGATACACACTCCACGGCTCCTAGGTAAAAATCTATCACCATCAGTTCGCTTCGTCTAGGCAGGTAGCAACTAGCTGAAGTTTCCTGTGAACAACCGCAGATTACAATTTCCATTCTAGTTGTAGACTAGTGTAGTTAGTGTACTAGCAGCAGTAAGGCAATTAGATAATTGCTAAGATCTATATATCTATTAGATATATCTAGATATATGGACAGGATACCAATAAATAGTACTAAGTGATAAGAAATAAGCAGATAAAGATAAGGGAGTCGGAAATGATTTCGTTTAAACGGAGTCGGCTGTGCGTCGAAATCGACGAAAACCGACCGTAATGTGCTTATCTGGGCCGATTATATTCTAGAATTGGCCAAAACTGTCTTTTTATATAGTGAGTTCTCAAATGGAATATATGGAAATACATAGATGGCTAATAATGCATAGCTGTATGAAAAACGATGGGGAAAATCGTATGGTTTAAATGGGCCGTACATAGCCAGTTAGCTTAGCAGATACTATATATTAATGAATTAAATAATAATTAAGCAAGCTAATTGTAAGTATACGTGATGAAATGATGACTTGTGGTGTAAATGAGGAGGAGGGGCTGTGGGTTTGCCGCCTCTGGAGTTGTAAGCAACAAGATGATGAGTAGCGTACCGAATGTGATGTCTGAGGTTGGCTAAAGAATACAAATTCAATGAACTATCGATGCCTGTTAACAGAAAGATGACGAAGAGACCGATAATACTAAAGCAAAAATAAATAGCAGTTATAATTAGTCGATCATAAAGACGCCAGAACGTAGCGCCCCTCAACGGGAGGTTGCCGCGGTTCACGGAACGGTTTGTTTTGTACAGTAATCGTTGATCTTGTCGTATCTTTCTCTCATTTTCGTGTGGGATGAAGCGACAAAATAGAACTCCGCCTTCCCTACATACACCGACACAACAACAACAACAACCACATTAGACGACAGACATTAAATAGAAACTGGGCGACGCCATCAACAGGCAGCAGTGACGTTTCAATAAGCGTTGTAGGATGACTATATTGGGAGAGTAATCATGTTGATAATAGTGGGAAATTGAGCCCTCAGTGTAAGAATAAGAAGAAGGCAAAGACAAGGAAGGCCTAATGATCTGTATAATGTAGTAATTTTATTGTTATCATTGTTGTAAGAAGTGATTTCCACACAGCGAACAACGCTTCAACCATAACGGGTGGGAGGATACAATATGATCGAACTCTTAATAATCAATAACCAAAAAGCTAGCTTGGGAAGTTTTTTTAGGTTCTTTATATCGACGCCCTCCACTTCTGTAGAAATAAATCAAACATAAACATCGAGCATCGAGTAATATGGGCAAAGTATCGTTGTTAGAGAAGTATGACTGCCTGCTCTTTTTTTCTGTGAGTCCACATACGCCGTCTTTCGGATCGAATCTCTCCCTTCCTATAAATGGACAGCTATCATACATCAACGTATAATCAGTGAGACAGATTTCATAGCCGGGTTTAGACACTCTCAATTGCCGAAATGATCTAATGACAGTCATCCAATTCAGCAGCATTCTCTATGATAATCAAAAACTGAATAATAACTGATAAGAATAATAATATTGATACATAACTGATAAGAATAATAATATTGATAATGACAATAATGAAGATTATTATTGAAACTCATAAGCTTTTGAATTCCTGCGACTAGTAGCACAAGTATTATTCCTGTTTGGACTTGGTAAAGAGAGACATGAGATATATCCCAATATCCGCTCGGTCACGTATTTGTCTGCATGGTTGATAAGTGGGAGCGCGGTGCGTGTGACTCGGTGTGTGTAGTAACGGGGAAAACGGGTTCTTTTTTCGAAATGAAAAACGTGAAAAGAATATAAAGAAACAACAGAAATAGTATTTATATATCATTAATTATACAGACACTATATACTAATATGATAAAAAAAAAAGTAGCAAAAAGTACGTGGTAGTAACAACAATTGTATATTGTAGTGTAATATTTGTATAATAAGACGCACTCCCAAAACTTTACGTGGGAGGAAAAATCGGACGAAGGGTGATTGTCTACCGAATATTAGGTGGTAGGTAGGAAGAGAGAGGTGGCTATTAAATAATCTAGACAACTGTGTATGGAACGAAAATGACCATAAAGATGTTTAATAATAAGAACGAAAGATGATTAGTACAATTTATATTAGAATCATAATTACTATATACAATATTATTACAATTTAACAACAACGAGGTGAAGACTAACGTGTCATGTTCTTAGCGGCACGCAATATGCATACTATTGTTGCTAGTTAGCTGGCGTGCTGGCTTCTGCATTTCGAAACAGAACACAGGCGACAGATAAAGCTATTGTCGAGTGAATTTACAATAATAAGACTAATGGGTGATAATAATAATAATAATAATACAAAACTGTAATTACATTATTATATGATTATAACTAAGGCAGATAATGATAATAAAGGACAAATGGCATAAGTTTGGTGGATGCGTGGAAACAAGAGACAAGTTAGGCGGTTTCTGTCCAAGTCTATAATTATAATAATCGTAAATGTCTATTACTGTGTTAATAAATCTACTGCTGCTGCATCGTATAGTGAAAAATATTTTTTTACTTTTGTTCATTTTGTTTTTTGTTCAATACGCGCTATTGAGGAGGCCAAAAACGTATTCAGCTTTTCCTGCTTTGCTATATTTCTTTAATTTTTTTATGTTTGTGAGCTGTTTTTTGCTGAACGTCGATTGTCAGGTTCAGCCGTTTCGACAAAAAATTATCTCTGTACATACATACATACATGTATACGCAGACGCACACTTCAGACGCAGCATGAGTACAATAATAACAAATACGACAACATTAACCGACAACTCAAACACGCCTACCTACGCAATCACAGCCTTTAGTCAGTTGCTGTGAGACTCGGCACTTGTAGAAGCCAAGCCCTTAAACAAATCTTGATAACCATACGCCGGCAAAGGACGGTAGCAGATAATTTGGATGACTTTAAATTCAATAATACTACCAACAATAACGGATAAGAACAGTATCAATAATCACGAAACAAAAGTGCGATGTCTCACCCGACGCTACAGTATGTGTACTTTTTACAAAGGATTTCGAGTTGACCGAAGTATTTTAAGTAAGGATGTATTTACATACTTTCTAAAGTATTAACATGTTTAAATAAGAAAGACCTATATATATGCTACCGAATTTAACAGTGCTAGGTAAATCAATTAAAGCAACGAGCAAGAAGGCGATACTGACAAAGAGAAAAATCTAATCGAAATAAACGAGCAGCAAACTATAGGGGGGCACCACAAAATCGGAGGACATATTATATGTTCGGAGGTCAACTTGAGTAGAAACTTAAACCAGAAGATATGGTTAGATAAACGTGATCTGGGTAAAAGGAACCGTAAATGTATAGTTGCTTTTACACGCATCGAAAAATCTATGAAAATACCGAAGTTGTTGCGATTATCAAACTTCTCTAGCCTGTCCCACCGTAAGGCTGTCAATTTCTTGATCCGTCTGATGCTGCGAGTAGAAATCACAAAGAAAATGGGTGTCCATGTATAATATACCATACGAATGACAACAGATTACACAACTAGAGCTTTAAACATCAAATAATGACGTTCGATAATCAATTTTTTACTCAGTGCCTGCACAATGGAAGTAAACGTTGCAAACAGAATTGAAAACGCGACACCGCCCACAATATGGTAGCGAGTAACAATTGGAATTACAGGTTCACACTTTTCAAAACAACACCTCGACGCATTTGCTTAAAATTTGGTTGCCTGCCTCAAGGAGCGTCTCTTTTGTTAATGAGACGTTAGCTTGCTAACCATGGTTTTTCAAGCCTGCCCACCGTACATAGCAATCAAATGTAACCACAACCGCAAGCAAACTTCTCAAAATAAAGCAAATTTTTATTAATTGAGTGAGTGGTCATTTAAAGGACTTCATCATTTCCTCATTCATTGTAATTATTTTGTGGTTATTTTTTGTACATCACTATTATCTTTAGGCAAAAAAAAAGTTGTTCTTTGCGGCGGCAGTAGTGGTGGCTGTAATAGACATAATCAATCGTATAGGTGATAACGCTAACAACACGAAAAGATGAGCCAGGTAATAGTGAGTACCAAAGTTGTTTGATAATGAACCGAATTCTGAGGCATGCCATGCAACACCATCAAAAGCATAGGCGCATTCTTCGTTAAGGTCGATCCAGATTTTTCTGCAGCTATCTCGTCGCACTGTAGTTGTCGCAGATGTAATGGCGCTAAGTAGTGGGCTAGATGGAACGTAATTAAGATACAAGTGATAGTTTAATCGTATGATGAACGTTTCGTCTCAAGTCAAGCTAAACACTAACGTTCAGAGCCAGTCGGATATTAATAGGAATGCAGATTTTGATCGTGAAAATCACTAAGGTTTTAGGCAATCAGAACTATTACTGTTAATATGATTATTTTGAACGCGGTTTGAAGGGAAGATACAAGACACAGCTATTTGTTGCTGATGAAAGTTAGAAGACATCGGTGGCTGTTTCTCCTAAGAACTTATAGAAGAAGTGTAGTTTCCGGGATGCTCTGTAGGGGGTCTAATTCACTGGAATAGAACTGCGGGAAAAACGGGTCCAGGGAAGGACTAGGGATTGCTGTCTGTTGACTAGACGTCGCCTGTTCGAACCGCCGTCTCTCCGAGTTTTTTCATCGTTCGATGCATATATGTGATATCGCTACAAGCAACAACGGCAACCATGATCATGTAACAAACAACAATTCTGCTATCTAAGTTCTTAGGAGAAACAGCCACCGATGTCTTCTAACTTTCAT